AAAACTGATACCTATATTTTTTTTATTGTATGGCTTAATCTTGCTTTGATTAATTTTGTATCATCGAGGTCAATCTAAAACAGAAAAAGAAAAATGATTATTATTTGATTCAAAAATTTGAATGATTTTACGTAGAAAATCATTCGTATACATACCTTGAAAAATCATTGTTTTTTCTCTCGTCGAAAATGAATTAAAAGTTCATTTCAAAAAGGTTAATTGATATACATATTTAATTGTGCATGTTGATCATTGATCGTCAATGATAACAACATGAACAATGATTTATGGACGAGAGAAAAACAAAAAAAAAATATATATATATATATATATATATGACACATATATTAATGATAGATTTTAATTAAAAAATTTAAAAGAAACAAATCAGATGAATTATTCATTTTCAAATAATAATCAGATGACGGATAACAAGCAAGTCTATCTAAGATTATTTTCTTTTACATGAACTATAACTTTCATCGAGAGCTTTGCCAAAATGATGAACGACAGCTAACTAAACAATAAAAAAGAATACAAATTTGAATTTCGATGATCAAGAATCAAGGTATAAGTTTCTTTTTACAATCAGATCCAATAGTAGTCCGTTAGTAAGTCTTCAGATGAAATAAATTTTTCGATGTAATGCCATACAAACTGTAATATAAAGAATCGTCAGTATAATTTTAAATTGAAACAACTTTTTAACATAATAATTAAGCAACTAGTTCTTTCAAAAAAAAGTCTGTTATTGAAGTTCTACAAATATATACAACTTGAAAGTGATATAACTCTTAAAGTTTCTAATAGTAACAAGTTGTATTTTAGTCTGTCACGTTCTATGTATGCCAATACTAAGAAAGATGGAAGAACTCTTTTAAAAACTTGTCATATAGTAATTCTCAAGGATTGACAAGTTTGATCTAAGGTCTTATTTGAAATTATTTCTTAACATAATTGAAAGACTTCTTGATTCCTGAAAGGATACTACCCTTCATAATATCGTAAAATGATCTATAAAATTCAGTTTTATACTAGGCTTTATATTTTTAGACCTCCTAATATCTAGATAGTTTTACAGTTGCATCATGCTAATGGTTCGCATAACTATCTCAGTGGAACAGATTCTTTTCTAATATTTTTGCATTGAAAAGTCAGAAGTTTTTAACAGTCGGTTAAACGTAGTTCAGAAAGTGAACTTGAAATTTTAAACCATCTAATGACTAGCTAACTTTTTGTGACCATAATCAATACATTCATCCTGATCTGTGATCATTATTGTACTATGATAAAGAGTGAGTTCAAAATTTAGAGCTAGGATTTTGATGAAAAATAAAATAGACTAGCTTCAGTATCCTTAAAATTGATAAAAAATCGATAAGAACCAATCGATTTCTAAAGTTCAACCGAAACATATGACACAACTTGAAAATGAAATGTTATTATCCTGTGATACTAAATCTTTCTTAGTCCTTTGCTTCCAACACTCATCCAATAGCTTTAGTATTGAGACAACCATTAGAATAGTTTCTACAAATGCTAATTATGACATCGATGTAGTTAAATTTAGGCCAAGTCATTTCACTATGGAGATGCAGAATGGGTCTACAATGACTCATTCGTTTTGAGTGACACAAAAATTGAATTTATTGTTAAATTGACATTTTCGCAGTTATACTGCTATTTTATCTGTATAAAGTTGAAGAGTTACTTATCATGAACTATTTTCTGAAAAATGAATCATTTTGAAGGATGATATATGATGACTGATTTCAATTCGGAATCACTCATTCCTGTTGTTAAAGTCTCATCGAGAAGGAAGACCATAACAGAGACTGCAAGTTTTTCTATCTTTTATCGTTCTAATAAAGTGTTTATCATGAAAATCGTTTTATTTTATGAGTTTGTATTGAAGATAACATAACTTTGGAAAAATCGTTTTTTATGTTACTCATTATGAATGGATAAAACATGATCCAAATTATCATGAAAAACATTGCTTTTATATCTATAATTAAGAAATTTTTAAAAACTATCCTGCAAATAGATTATACTCATAGTATTAGTTATGCACCATTCAACTCATATATCTTAACCAAGGGATGATGCAAAGAAGTTTAGTTTTTTTCGAATTTATAGCTGATTAAAAACTTTGTACAAAGTTCTGAAATTATCATATCGATTCAATGCTTTAATATTCCAAATAGATAGTTTCTTGAATGGGTCGAAAATGTCCCAACAGGGAGTAAAGGATTAAAGTAGTTGAATAATCTTCTTTACAATTTAAAAACTTTAATATTTAGTTAATCAATATCACATATTATCTAATATGAATAAATGTTTCACAAGAACAGTACTGCCTTTAACAATCATTTTGTTTTTCATTTGATTACATCCATTCATTTGGTCCTTTACAAAAATATTTTTGAATAATATATGTAAGATTGGATCTTGTCAGTGAACAAGTCTATATTCAATGCTGATTGCATTTAACTATGAGAAATAAAGAAAAATTTCAATAAAATGAATTCATTTGATTATGCTATTGCTTCAATTGGAAGATTTTTCATATATAAATTTGTTTATTTAAACTCAATCGATTATAAAATGGATTTTCTGTTTGATAAAAATCACTCTAATTAAAAGATTTTCTAGAGATTTATTTCAAAACTTAAAATTTTTATTTTGCTGAACAAAAACTTTATTTATCCTTTAATAAATCCATCTAAGGAATCAATGAAGCATAAAAAACCAAATAATGATCACATACATATGTTGAAATTCGTTTTTTTTGTCCTCCTCACTTTCCAAGAAAAAAATAAGACAAAAAAGGCACTATTCTACGAAATCTGTTTTGTTCTTTATTTAATTATGATCAAAGAAAAGAGAACTCGACGATGACATTTAGCTGAACCACATTTGCAATCCATTCGATGACCAACTATTTTATCTACTGTATAATGATAATCCCAATTAGAAATAAATGAGCAAAACAATGGTAATACGTAAACAAAACTGATGCAAAACTAATCGGTCTTTTCAAATAAAAATTTGTAAGAATTATATATCTTCTTTTTTTCGAAGCTCCATGAATAAGATTTAAATAATTTGTTCTAATTAATTTTTCATTTAAAATACACCTACTAGATATCCAAGAAAAATCATCTAGTCTCCAAGGGCATAGAGGTACTAAGAAAAAGCATAAGATATATTTATTAGCCAATAAAAATCAATTCCGATGCCTAGAAGTAAGATGAAAAATAGCTAAATAAATCATTTTTAGTTATGAGATTTGCCTTGTCGAAAAGATAATGACAAATTTTGAATGATGGATGTGGGTACGTGTCTTCTATTTAGTCATATTCCCACCCACATTCGGAATCTGAACTGTGGTGTTTCTTAGAATTCATTGCTAATGGTGAATTGTACAAATGGATCAATGAAGGCCGAACACATGTAGAAAAAGATAGTTACTATCACATTACCATGGTGAAGAGACGGTAACTGTGTTTCCCTAGAAAATAATGGTATCTTGAACTTTTCTGTAAGATATTTTTTCTCATGCAACTCAACAAGTTCTATCCAAAAATAACGAAAAAAATCTTCTGAAATTTAAATTATTGAGTACGTTCGCAGTCTAGACGCGCCAATAGTAGTCCTTATTTTAAATTTATTAGTTTGCAAGTAAAAGCTTTAATTTGATCCGAATATATCTGATCTTATTAACTAATAAAAATCATGAAGTTGATTCTATTTTTAAAAGAATTAAGTCGACATTGAAAGAGTATACGATAAATCTTTTGTATATAATAAGATTAAAAAGTGAATTAACTTCTTTTGTTTATCTCATGTTGAAATATTCTTTATTTCATCTCAGAACTGACGATATTGATTGTTTAATATAATGTATTTGGTACTCAAAAGGCACCATACTTATCGAGGGTGTATGTGGGTGTGGTTATAGATAGAACATACACTCATATCCACAGCCGCACCCTACTACTTTCTTAACAGCAACCTATTGTGCATATGTCAATATGTTTGGTTGTCATGGACTTTTTGAATGAAATGTTGCTGATGTTAAGTCTTGAAGCAATCAAATACGTGTAGCCGTTGCATGTCTTTAAGGATAGAAAAAATTTTAAATAGTCGTGTGTAAAAAGAAAGAGAATAGAAATCGAATCAATAATGGTTACTGATTCGCTAACATCAATTTTGTAAAAGAGAACGTTTTTTTATTATTTAACCACTATATACAAAAGAATCAGAAAAAAATGCAAAGACCATCATTAATTGAGGACGATGATGATTATACTAATAATAAGAATGGAAAACAATTGCTATCAAGAAGTCTTACATTTAATAGGGAACCATTAAAACAAAAACGAATAAAAAGACTAAGTCGACCATCATCAGCTATAATTGAACAATGACTACAATGTTTAGGTCGAAGTTTACTTAGTAATGATAATTGGCAACAAGAGACAATGGCTGGTGTTCGTATTAATGCTAAAAACGGTTGAACAAAATGATTAAAATATTCTTTTTGGCAAAGGTGATATTTTAATTAAAAATAAGCCAATATAAATATTTAATTCAGATATTGATCCTTTATCATATATACGTGACATGCTTAATGAATTGTGTAATACAGAAGCTTTTATTTATGCTCGACAATGTCGTGTTGTTGTTGGTAAATTACGTTTATGTTGGAGTGATGTTAATGAAGGAATAAAATCATTATTAAAACATAAAGAATATACAGAAGCAGCTATTGAACATATTCAACAAGATTTAATAATTAATAAAGAAAATGTTAAAATACAAAAAAAAAAAACGAGAAGCGCTAGTTTTATTTTATATTTTTAAAAGATATTTGTATTCTGATCAATAGGAACCTAATGGTGTTGATGATAGACTTGCTTCAGAAAAATATCATTTAATATTATTGATCAAATACAGATATAAAAAATCTTGAATGATTTTTTTTTATTAATTAAAATATTTAGAAACTTGATAAAGTTCGTTAACATGTAACTAAAATTGGTAGAGAACATTTGAATTGGCTCGTTTTGAAAAGTAAATAATCATTTTATGCAATATTATTTGTTTGTTTGTTTTTTTATAGATTAGATAATTCACAACAACGTCAATCACCATCGACAGTACTTCCTCAACTATTATCAACTCTTGGTTTTCGTCTACCATGTACACTTCAAAATAATCCAATAATTTCATCTAATTCAAATTTAAATAATATGAATATTTCAACAGAAGCAACATTATTGAATGAAAATAGTTTACCACTTGTTAGAAATTTACTTGCTTTTACATCAGATGTTATACAAATATTTCAAGATGCAACAAAATTAATTGAAGAATCATGTGAAATTAAAAAACATGCGATGAATCAAATAAAAGATACAAAAGCCTATTCGTTAACTGTTAATCAAAGTATTGCACAAAAACTTGCGGATATTATTACATTAGCTGTAAGAATATTGTTTCATTTCAAAGACTATAGTTTTGTTAGAATTAAGAGTTTCTGATAGGAATGAAAGTAGGATATACAGATGACCAACTACATGTAATTTTATTTAATTCACTCAAAGAGAGTTTTTTGACTAAACTTGCAATTTTTGAAATGTTTTAGTCAATTCAACTCAACTGAATTCATCAATTTTGAAAATTGTTACGAGGTGATTACACTCGATTTAAGATTTGAACTAAGTTGAACCGACCTTTTTGCATTGAATTGTTCAATTCTGATCTCGGTCATTCTTGAGGATGTGGGTGCGAGTGTGGTCTGGAGTTAGAGTGTGGGTGTTCATTATCTTTTCACCCACACCCACACCCAATACTCATCTGCCGTGTTTGTTCAATCTTTACATTGGATATGAATCACTTGCAATGATAACAAATAATTTTACCAATGATATATCATGTCTCAATTCCAGTAAATTAAAAGACCTTCATATAAATGAACCATTTGTTCGTCCAGAACATTTTCATATATACTTTCCTTTCTTATAAATATAATTTTTGTTTAAAAATTTTTTTGAATAAATGAAATATATTTGGATAATGATGATCAATCAAAATAAAATCATATGAACAAGAAAGAAAATATTTCTCATATTCTATGATTCAACAAAGATAGATTATTATTTATCTATTATTTAAAGAACAACATAAACATTTCACAATTGTAGGTTTATCTTATTTTATTTCGAACTAATAAAACATATTCTTACATAGTATCTAGAGCAAATTTTATCAATGAATTTAACAAAAATTTCCTGAATTGTACAATTTTGTATTTTACTTCAAATTCAGTAAAATGTTAGAAAAGCTTTGCTTTGTAACATACATGTAGAATCAATCATTTATGAACAAGCATCTTTTAGAATTTGATTAAAGTAAAATTATATTCATTGAACTGATTTAGCTAACATACTTGTTTTTCCATAACTGTTTATTGATGTAGCTGATAAATACGTCCATGACTGATGTTTTACTTTACTTGAATAGGATATTCTTCACGAAGCAGTTAGTGATATCAAAAGATTGATTATTATCGTAGGCGTATCTACTACCTATCATTAATTCATCACAGAATCCTTAATCTTGTCTGTAATTTTCATAGGATGTAGAAGCTCTGGTCCGAAAAAAATAGGTCATCAATTTTCATTCTTTTTTTTTTCTTATCTCGTTTAAATTATTCAAGAAGATTTTGTAAATTTTCGAACATTTCATTTTATATTGTAAATGATTATTTAAATTTATATTAAGTACTTCAAGTTTTGCATATTTATATTTTAATGTACCTAATTCAGTAGCTAATGATTGTTTTGATTGTTCACTAGTACTAAATTCATTTTGTGCATGGTTTGAATCGTCTAATTGTGCTGTTTGATTTCTTAAAGATTTTTCTCGATCTTCAGAAGAAATTAATCTGTTGTATATTATTCTTTCATTTTTAATAAACGTGTACGTAATCATTCAATTACATTTGTTAATTTTCATTCACATTCTTCAAATTGTAAAAAGTAAAACACAAAACAAAATGAATAATTCTTTTCTCATACTAAAAAAGCAAAAACAAATTTTTTGTTTATTTAATTCGATTTCATTTTCTAATTGTTTGTTTCTCAACAATACCTAAATCACGTTCAAATGTACTACATTATACATCTAAATACATTTGTTTTGTATTCATTTGTTGTGATTTTTTTAATAAATGGATTGTTCACTTGATTTTAATTTGATATTATTTTGCTCTAATAATTTAATTTTATGTTTTAATTTTAATTGTTTAACAAGAAGTTTTGTTTCATTATTAATGAATTGTTGTAATTTTATATCATGTTGAATTAATGTTCAACGTAATAAATCAATTTCTTCGGATTGTTTTTTTCTTTTGATGATATAATGAATTTTGATGATTATTTAATTCATTTTGACATTGTAAATAAGCTTCATTTTTTTTGTTGAATTAAATTATTGAAAAGATTCATAATCAGTTTGTAATTGACTATATTTTGTATTTAGATCATTATAAAGTGAAAGAATACACGTATATTCATCATAATATGATAAAGATTTATCATGTTGACATTTAGAGAATTCAACTAATTGATTATAATCGAAACGAAATTTTTCATATTGTTCTTGTGTATAAACTTGTTCAGTCTGAATGAATGAAGAAGTATAATTATTTTATGATAAATATATATTTTATTGATGAAGAAATTTTATTCAGCATGAGATCTGATATTGTGGCACTCTCCTAAATTTCTAAATTGCCCTTTCAAAGACAAAATTTTGAATAATATTTAAAAAAAAAATTGCAAATTTCAGTAAAACTCTTGTGCATAAAACGAATGTTTTTGATTTGACTAGAATCTATTGGAATAACTCTGTCAGATGGAGCAAGCATATATGAATGAAATGAGATGTCTTCAGTATAGAAATCTGCAAAGTAGTCTCGGTCCCATCGGGATCGGGACTAAAACTTTTTCAGGCTAGTCCCGGTCAGGTTATTTTCATCATGTATTATACTATATTTTTTACTCTATTTGATTAAAAATCTGTAAATCGACTATTTTTGCTGCAAAATCCGATAAAAAACAACTTTTACAGATCACGATTCTATTATTTAGCAGTTTCAACGTTCTCTTATTTGTCCAATGTTTATCATGCTTCCGCCATTTTTAGTGTGAATCGTTTAGTTTTGTTGTACTCATCTATATTTGAGAAAAACTTATTACTCATTGGGAATAGAAAAATAAATATAAAACTTAGGCTTAATCTTGCAAAAAAATTCTGAAACTAGCCGTGAAAATAGAAGTCCTAGTCTCGCAGATCCTGAGATACATCTTCAAATCACAGATATTCCTTTCATCTTCTAATGGCACTTTGCCAGTCGACATGTTTGTAGGACGTGTATAGTCTGAAGAAAAACCGATTCTGAGTTTTGATATATGTGAAAACAAAAAATTCTAACTATAATTAAAACTCGGACTGAAAAAAAATTTGGACCGGGGCCAGGACTGGAAAAAGGTCATTTTGCAGATCCCTACTTCAATATCGTGATAATTCTAAACGATGCTCAATTAATTAAGACATTATAAGCATAAGATGAATATTTTATTTTGATTTCTACTGTTCTTTTGCATTTGTTGTTATTGATGTAGATGATTTCTCTTCATCTTATGATGATTGTTTATATGAAACTTGAATGATTGACTATTGTTCTATTCATTTGAAGAACAGATGACAATAACTGCCAAAGATGAAAAATGGGGTGGAGAAGTTCAAATTCAAGCCCTTTCTATAGCCTTATGTCAACCTATTTATTCATATGTCAAATTCGTGAGTAATCTAAAAAATGGACACTATATTCCATCCGATATCAGTCTACAAAAATTTATCGATCGATTCGATAAAGGAACCGCAGGTGGTCATCTTAAATATATTGGGTGCAAATCAGATATGAACAAATTGAGTTTATGTATTTATGTCACCGGAAATCATTATGATGCTTTCTTCCCTTTTATAATAATCCTCAACAATTTATACCCGAACATGATATCATTAATATGAGTTTAAAATATGAAGGAAGGTTCCATAAACTCATCGAAATAATTAATTCAAATAAACAAGTTTTCATTTATGTAAACATACATGTCAAACCTGAAACTTGAATTCAATTATTGAAACTCTACTTCAACTATTCAATTATTGAATACCTGAAGTTCAACTATTCGATTATTCAATTATTGAATAATTGAAGTTCAACTATTCAATTATTGAAGGGTGTGGAGTGTGGGTGTGTGTGGGTGTGGGATGTGGGTGTGGGTGTGGGGTGTGGGTGTGGGTGTGGGTGTGGGTGTGTGTGGGTGTGGGTGTGGGTGTGTGTGGGGTGTGGGGTGTGGGTGTGGGGTGTGGGGTGTGGGGTGTGGGGTGTGGGGTGTGGGGTGTGGGGTGTGGGGTGTGGGTGTTACTAAAAAGAGAAATGATACCGATACCCACACCGACACCCACATCCACACCCACACCCACATCCACACCCACACCCACACCCAGTTCCCAGACCCACACCCACACCCACACCCAGTTCCCAGACCCACACCCACACCCACACCCAGTTCCCAGACCCACACCCACACCCACACCCAGTTCCCAGACCCACACCCACACCC